GTATTCCCCTTGGGGACATGTGAACTGTCCCAGAGTAAGCATTTTTAAGGATTTAGATTAAATGACTGTAGTCTTACTTCCCGTCCTCCAAGTCTGGAGGCCATAGGAAAGCGCAGCCGTCCATCACAGAAACATCCATCACTAATCACTGCAAAGAACCAGCTGAATTTATTTTAAAGCCCCCAACATTAAATCGAACTCAATGGATCTGACAAATATTAGTACAGATTTGGGCCGAAAAAATATATATGGCACCAGTGCAATCCTAAACAGATCTACCTGGACTGCGGTCAGACGGGCAGCTTGGCGCAATATGGCACCGCCTCTAACTGTACCAGCTTAAAGTGTCGCGGGGCATCCAGACGGCATACCCTGCTGTGGGTTACCCGTGTGGACATCCTGTTGTCAAGCATCTACATTACTGCAGTGCCTCAGCCATGGAGCGCACTGCCTGGTCGTTTTAAAAATGCGTACACGCACATATGTGCACACGTGTGTGCATATGCACCCATGCACTCATGTGCATGGGTGCATATGTGCATCTAGGCAAAAACTCCAGAAAAACCCCACCCTAGCGGCGGGAATGGATCTGCAGGTTCAGACCTCCAGTCTGCTTTGTATGTGCTCCCCCATGTTCAGACATCCAGCCACATGTGATGAATGTGTGGGAAACCAAAAGCATGACATGTTATGTGGTGGCTGTTTATTCTGGTTCCAACTCCTTGTATGATGGGGTGAGTACAACTCAGGAACGGCTGAGAGCTGTGGCTGTGTGACCAGACCCATTTAATCCGTTTGTGAAAAGTGCCTATATTGGGCTTGTTATATGTTAGGTCTGGAACATTCCAGGACTATCTACCAGAGACTGACTGAGCTTGGAGCTCCAGGACAATAGCCCACCAGGACTCTGGAAGTGACCAATGAGAAACTAATGTTATGTAAATAGCCTATCGCTGTTGCCCTGAGGTTTCTAGTCTTGTTCCTAAATTCACTTAATAAAGTAGAGCTGTTCACTGCAATGTGTCTTGAACCCAGTATTTAACAGGGCCAAACTGCCAGTTGGAACGTAGCCCCAGAATCCAGGCCAATTCAGTGGGGATTACTCTTAAGAAAGCATTCTTTGGATTCTGCTGCACATTTACTCAGATTTGTTCTGTGACACTCGGCTCCCCTCTCCTTCTGCTTTCTCCCCATTGTCAAACATTGGATTGTAAAAGTCTTTATGGTATCAGAAATCTTCACATGCAGGCAAGGCACTGAAATAAGAGCGTTAATATCTTCTTGCAGAGTGCCATGCCCAGGGAAATCCCAGGAGGCAGCTTTGGTTTCCTTTGACGAGCAGCTGGAAACTTATTTTTTCAAACAGGCCTTATCAAGCACCGGCGGATGTGGTTTTTAATAGAGCTTTTTATCACATGTTGATATTTGATTATAGTTTGATTGGTTTGCATTTTGTAAGCAGCCAGGAGTACAGTTTTCTATCGCAAGAGACTAACAGGGCAATCCTTGGAATAAGCCCAACTTGAGTCAAATTCTGAGTAGACCTTTTTAGGATTGCTCTTTAACACTGCAATCCTAAATAGAGTTACGCCCTGCTAAGCCCATTGACTTCAGTGGATGCAGAAAGGTAAAACTCTGCTTTGGATTGTACTCGGATATATTTAACAATGACCTCCTAAAGTAAAGTGTCACATGCAAGATTTGAAAAACTTTAAATGGACACAATACCGTGAATACTGGAAGTAAGTAAACATCCACTCCCTTCTTCCTTTGGGTTGCTAGCTTTTACACCAATCCCTCTAGCTGCCCTTTTACTATTACTTTTTAAAAAATACTTTATATACATACAACCTAACAAACTACACACTAACTAAAATTACAGCTACACAACGACCATATATCATAATTATTGCTATCTTAAGTCAAAGTTTTTCTCTTCACGTTAAGAATAAAAATCTCATTCTGTTGTTTCAATATGCATAAAGTTAAAGCTATTAACAATGCAAGAATTCGTAATGTAATATAAACATTTATTCTTAGATTAAAGCTATTTTTTGCCTTTCTTTCCTTTCTTCTTGCTTTTATAGTCCCGAGGTGGTTTGGGTGTTGCTTCCCCTAATTCTGATTCGGATTCAACTTCTGAGCCGCCATCTGTGGGTGTTCATTGACTTCCCAAGTCCTGGGAGCTATCCACTTTTCCTTCTCCTTCTGTGTTCTTTTTGTCTTTTTCTGAATCTTGCTGTCTTTCCAAAAACTGCTTCGCTTTAGTAAGAGAGTCAATCTTTTCTTTTTTGCCTTTGTAGTTGAACATCAAGCCTTCAGGTAGTATCCATCTGTAGGTGGTGGACTTATCCTGTAGATAAGTGGTTAAGTTCTTGTATAATTTTCTCTTCTTCCTTATCTCAAATGGAATGTCTTTTAGGATTCTGATCTCTTCTTCTTTGATTTTCAGTGTAGTCCCGGATGTTGCTTTCAATATTGTATCTCTTATGGATCTCTTAGAGAATCTGACATATATTTCATCAGGCAGGGTTTTTTTTAAATAAATTCTGAATATGTCAGATAGGCCATATCCATTTTGCTTTGTAACACTTTCACCTTGATACCTGTCACTGGTGCAAGCACTTCGCTAAGGATTTCTTTTAGATTCTCAGGTTTGTTTTCTGGAACACCCTGAAAACTCAGCACATATGAAGATTTTTCCATTTGTAGCTGCAAAAGTTAAGTTTTGTCTGAAGACCTTTCTTTTTCCACATCTTCCAGTCTTTGATCAATTGCTTTCGTCTTGTTTGCCACTTCTTCTGTTCTTTTATTAGACTCTTTTAGCTGTTTTTGTAAAGACTCCAAGGTCTTGTTGATGTTGGTCATCTGTGCCAATAGAGGTCGCAATGCAGTATCCAGCATGCCTGGAAAGTCAAAGTTCGCTTCCGGTTTGGAAACTGGACATGCTGAGCTGGAAGTTCCTTGTTGAATCTTCGCTTTCGCCACCATCTTTTCAGCCCGATAAGACACTGTTTATACTTTGGGAAAAGTTCGCTTAAGTCATTAAAAGTTTATTAGCACAAATGCTTTTAATTGTCTGGCATTGTGCTAGTTGAAACCAGCAATCTGCTCAAATTCTGCCACTTTCTGCCCCCTGTAATTCTTTTAAATCTTCTTTGTCATTTTCAAGGGGTGGGTAGCCTCCTCCCCCCTGCTTCTTCTTGGGGGCACCTGGACTAGCATCTTACGATCCACTTCATCAGGTAAGAGAAAGTATTTTTTATTTTCGCCCAGTCTGTTGTTCGCTGGTTCGGTATGCTTGTCTCATGCCCATAATGGTATAGCGGCAGCAGGACCTATAGGGACAGGAGGGAGCCTCAATCCTTTGGCCTTGGCCTTGGGAGAGGCACCCCCATTGTCCAGAGCCAGCCAGACTCCCTCCCCACGGGCTGCTCTCTCCAGAGCTTCGCAGGAGCACACCCGCCAGCAACGCGCCAAAACTGGAAGCCCTTTTACTATTACTTTTAATAACCACGAAAAGTTATTCAGCTTCATGCCATGCAAAGTTTCAGCTGCCTATTTCTACTCATTAACCCTCTGTTAAAGGGACAAGGCATTCCCCCTCTTAGCCAGCTGGCAACTCTACCCTTTGCGGGCATTACAGCTATGATAATGGATCAGATATCTCAGCCAGCTTTCTGGAAACACAAATGGTAGGACAGTCCGCAGAGTGTGAGTTGAGCCCCAGGGCACAGATTATGTGGACGAGGAAGATAGGAGGGCTTTGCTTTGCTTTCTGTAGCTTTCTAAAATAGTATGCAGAGAAGCAGTCATAAAAAGTGAGGGTCCAGCCGCCCTGCCCTGTGAGGTAAGCACTGCTAATAACACCATTATAATTCCTTCTGATGGCTTTTGTTTTTTAAGCATAACAGAAAAGAGATAGCCCATCCCCCAACCTGTTTAATGTCTAAATAGAAAATACTTTTTAAAGGAGATAACAGTATTATTCATTTTTGTTGATACTGTTTTTAGAAGCCCTTTTGCAAACTGGAAGAGTTACTGATTTTTCTGGACATTCTGGGGCTCCATCCAGGGTGGCCCAAAACATTTTGCCACGCCAGTCAGCTCCACCACATCATCCAGTACTGCAGTCCACTCCTGTTATTCCTTTCAGTGGTGCAGTGCGTGTGTGTGTTCACACATATCTCAAATCCTGCACACCTTCATATTTACCCCAAAGAGAATTGCTGCCAGTTCCTAATATTTTACTTGTATTTGTTTGCTTGACTGTTGTTTTTTTAAGAAAACACTGATAATCCCGCCTTTCCCCAAACTGCAGCTCACAGCATCAGTTTCAAACCGATTGCACACCACATCGTGCGCGAAAAGTAAATTCTAATACTATGAATGTTAAAGCCTAAAACAGTCTCTAGTGTTCCAGCACAGTCTTGTTCCCAGGTTACAGTCAACACAGATACACATTGTTTGTAAGAAAGAGCAAATGCGCATTCTCTTTACAAAATTACAGGAACCAGGACCTTGAAAAATACGGTGCTTGAATCGCAACACTGAGCCGTGTACATGCGTTGAATGTAATATGAGAATTACTGACAGCACGTATAAAGAAAAATTAAGTGTATACTGTACTCAGATCGTACTCAGATTGTACATTAAGTGTGTACTGTACTCAAATTCAGTTGTACGTGCATTGAATGTAATATGAGAACTACTGACAGCACGTATAAAGGAAAATTAAGAGTTTACTGTACTCAGATTCTACATGCGTTCCTAGTCTGAACAGGGCTTCTGTTATTTGTACGGTCAGATTGGATTTGTGCAGGAGAATCCAGTCCTGTTCACATTGCTTTGTGTCAGAACACCATTTCAGAGAAACAGCCTGCAAAAGACACACCTTCTCCTTAGGAATATATTTCAACATCGCTGATGCAAAGGTGGCAGAACTCAAACCCTGCATTTTTCTGAAAAGATCAAACAATATCTACGTATTTTACACTTACAGATCTGCTCCTGCTCCGTAGATGGAATATTTCAGTTCACCCCAAAGTCCAGAATCTGGATCTGTTGCCTTAAGAAGGGAAATACAAAAATGGGTTAATTGAAATGCAAGTGTGCCAAAGAGGCCGACTGGTCACTGTCCTTACCTGCACACTCCTGTAGCAAAAGTCAGAATGCAGTTCTTTCCAGTGAGAAAAGCGGCTTTGGAGGGGTAAGGAATGGAGAGGAGGGGAAGAGAGTGCTTAACCCTTGACTCACCTACCCCTTTTCTACTCCACGTTGTCACTCTAGATCAGGGGTCATTTCGTAGAAAAAGAGGTGCAGGAGCTCATTAGCATAACTCATTAGCATAACTTATTTGCCTATGCCACGCCCCCTGACATCACCGGAAGTGTGTCAGAAGGCAACACCCACCGCTCAGGCTCCACTGGACTGTTTTGGATTGCTAGCTATTGGGGGGTGGGGGAACGTGCAGATCTGCCCTCGCAGAGGAGGGAGAGCTTGTACCTGAATAAAACTTGGTCTTAAAGGTGCCACTGGACTGTTTTGGGTCGGGGGGGGGTTGCTCTGCAACTTACCTGGCTGCTTCTTGCTCTGACTGAGGGCTGCTGGGATCAGGGGGCGGGGCTTGTTGCATGTGCCTGCCCCCTGGGCTCTTTACTGCCGGATCTCCGCTCCTGTGCGCTCCTGTGCGCTCCTGCAGGAAATGACCCCTGCTCTAGATACACCCTCTCCCCAGTTCCCATAGCATGCTTTGAGAGGGAAATGTGCACTTGGAACTGTGTGTGTGTCCTTAAGGGAAGAGATGCCAGAAAGGGGGCACAGAGTGGAGAATCAGTGGACAGGAAAAGGATATCTCTCCCCTTCGCTGCTTCTCTTCACTACTTTAAGGGAGGGGCTGTGTAATTATTCCATGTTTTGCTGTGTGTGTTTCTTTAAATGTTTGACTGCAGTAATAGGAGAAGAATGATAGAGGAATATGAGTGTATCCTGATTGGCTGCTGACTGCGAGTGTGGGAGGAGGGGTGTCTATGAGGAGATTCTGTGATATCACCAGGGCTATTTTTGGGCAGGAACAGAGTTCCGACTGGTTCCCAAGTTGGCCACGCCCAGCAGGAACTCATTAGCATAACAGGCCACACCCAACAGCAGAAACACATTAGAATTGGCTACATTGGGGTGTGTGTGGCCTAACATGCAAAGGAGTTTCTGCAAACAAGGTCAACAGAATAAGAAGCAAAAGGTGGGCGTGGCTGGATTAACACACCTCTGGTAACATGGGTGTGTGGCCTAATATGCTAATGAGCTGTGCTGTCAGGGGTGTGGCCTAATATGCTAATGAGTTTCTGCTGTTGGGTGTGGCCTATTATGCTAATGAGTTCCTGCTGGGCTTTTTCTACAAAAAAAGCCCTGAGAGGGACAAGTATGGAAGAGTTCTGAAGAGAGTTTATGTACAGAGAAAGTGTTTAAAGGAAAAAACTGTTTCCCCTAATAGCAAGGACATCACAGGCTGTGGCTCAGTGGAAAAGTCTCTGCTTGGCATGCAGAAGGTCCCAGGTTCAATCCCCCACATCTCCAGTTAAAAAGAACCAGGTAGCAGGTGATGTGAAAGACCTGTGTAGGCCTCATTCTGTGACCATGGAGAGCTGCTGCCAATCTTAGTAAACAGTACCGACTTTGATGAACCAATGGGCTGATTCAATGCAAGTTTGCGTCATTTAAGTTGCCCCTTCCAAAGCTGCTTTTTTCTCTTATGAAAAGCAGCCAGCGTTTATTACCCAGGCTTGAAGGCAATGTATATTTAAGCACTGAAAATTAAAAAGGGGGGGAAATGGGCACTTTCCTTTTATAAAAAGACATTTTCCCTTTTCCCTACAACATTTTTGTAAAACTTCAGCCGTAAATTTCATGGGAGGGTTTGGATAATGGAAGAAAGCCAGGGGTATTATTGAAAGAAATGTAAGGACACAGCAGCAAGTGGTTCATTCAAATGCCACTCCAGATATTTAGTATAACGCACTGAAAAATTATTACCTTTCAAGAGAGACTCTAGGAGTGGTATAAATTGTGCCAGCATTGTGTAGTGTTCACTGGAGTTCACTAGCTGTTACCCAGTTGATGATAATATGGTATTCTTCTTTGTCAAAACTATTATTTTACTAAAGTAGCATTTCACATTAAAAATGCACGTAAAGTGCACATCATATTTTGCTTATCTGTAGATATCTGCTCTCCTGCCAACCTAGCAGTTCGAAAGCAAGAAATTGCAAGTAGATAAATAGGTACCACTTCGGTGGGAAGGTAACGGCGTTCCGTGCGCCTTGGTGTTTAGTCACGCCGGCCACATGACCACGGAAACATCTTTGGACAGCGCTGGCTCTTCGGCTTTGAAACAGAGATGAGCACCGCAACCCTAGTGTCGGATTCGACTGGCTTTCGAGCAAGGGAACCTTTACTTTTACCTTTAGATATCTGCTAGATGCCATTGATCAGCATTGCTCCATACCGGCTTTGGGCCATCAGGATTGATCGTGTTGAGCCTAAAACCAAAAATGCCCAAGACCAGCACAATATTCTGCATGGGACAGGAGTTGTTCACGAATCCTGGCTGCGAACCTCATCCTGGAAAATTCCTGGAGATCTGGGGATGGAGCCGGGGGCAGGTGGAGTTTGGGGAGGGTGCCTCAGTGGGGCATGATGCTAAAGTCCACCCACCAAAGCAGCCTGTTTCTCCCAGGGGACCAATCTCTTCATTCTGGAGAGCAGACGGAATTCAGGGTTGCCAGGTCTGGGTTGGGAAACACCTGGAGACTTTGGGGGTGGAGCCAGGAGAGGGCGGGGTTTGGGGAGGGGCCTCAGCGTGGTACCATGCCACAGAGTCCACCCTTCAAAGCATCCATTTTCTCCAGGGGAGCTGATCTCTGTCAGCTGGAGATAGGTTGTAAAAGCAGGAGATCCCCAGGCCCCACCTGGAGGCTGGCAGCCCGAATGTATTTCCATGAAATCTCCAGGTCCCTCTTGGAGAACCACAACAAGCACACAGGGAACACGGCTAAGTTAGATAAACACAGAAAACACATTGTGTTGAAATAATAAACACAATATTCACATGTACTTATAGCTAAATATATTTGCTTTTGATACACAACGTCAACTCTAGTGTATTGTAAACACTTTCAAACTACAACATCACATTTCAAACACTTTCAAACTAAGTTATATAACACGAAGAGTCCAACTGTCTCCTTCCTGATGGAGGATAAATACCAACGTACAGTTATTTGCACCGAACAATGCAGCAACCTATTGTACATTTCCCAAGTGATGATCCATCAGGTAAAGCAGGCAGCTCCTAATGTAGCCAATCCTCCAAGAGCTTACAGAGCTCTTCTTGCAGGGGCTACTGTAAGCTCTTGGAGGATTGGCTACATTAGGGGTGTGCCGCCTAATATGCAAAGGAGCTCCTGCTACAAAAAGAGCTGCCCGGGAGGCGTGTTGCTAGGCCTAGCCCTCTTGGAGAATGGCAACCCAACCTCTACCTAATGCACAGGGCTTGTGTGAACATGTTAATGAGCTATCGAGTCTTTATTGTGATGACTCCCCCTCGGTATAGAATTTCCTCCCTCTAGGTCTTTGTCTCTCGTTATGGGCCTCAGTCCAAATGGGGCTCTTATTAGGGTGGGAGAATCTGGGGACGACTCACAACCTTCCTTCCTGTGTTGGGCTCCTGTCTCTGCAGCTTAGAAAATGGCAGCCGTTTCCTCATCTTAGTACAACTGGTAAT